GTGAGGACCCAAAGCCTATCCGTAGGCAACTGTACGTCCGCTTACAGAAGGGTCCTGGGGAGAAGAAGAGCCAGTCAGGGTGCGATGTAGCAACAATGAAACACACCTTTCCTCTGGTTCCTAAATGCTTCCTCCCCCCACTATCATGATCCCAATTCTACCTTCAAAGCTGGTTAGACCAGATGATGTACGCTGGTACAGATAAGAACTGGAAACACAGGGAATCTAGGACAGATGAACCTCTCAGTACCAGTGGTGAAAGTGGTGATACTGGGAAGATGGGGTAGAGATGGGAACCGATTACAAGGATCTACATTTAACCACCTCCCTGGGGGATGGACAACAGAAAAGTGGGTGAAGCGAGACGTCGGACAGTGTAAGACATGAAAAAATAGTAATAATTTATAAATCATCAATGATTCATGAGGGAGGGGAGCAGAGGGAGGGGAAATGAGCTGATGCCAAGGGCTCAAATAGAAAGCAAATGTTTTGACTGATGCTGGCAACAAATATACAAATGTGCTTGACACAATGGATGGTTATGGATTGTCATAAAGAGTTGTGTGAGCCCCCAATAAAATGATTTTTTTAATGCATAAATTTTCACTGCCCCATGTGGTTTGGAAACAGAATTTGTCCTTTTACTCATATTTTGTTTCTTATGACCCCACAAACCTAAATTCGGTAATTTGAGGTGTTGCTAGGAGTCTCTATGAACCTCACCTCTTTGGATGAGTCACGTTGGGGAGAAATTAAGTTCTTTAAAGCTGACGCAGTTGTCATACATGCTAGAAACATTTCAGGTTGTACTATTTGGTATTCAGAACCTTTTTTTGTTCAACGTTTCTTTTCAGTGAAAAGCAGCTGTAGAAGGCCCTCTGCAGAAGAAACTCGTGAAGTAAATTCCAAGGCAGCCTTGCTACCGGTATGTACTTATCTGTTAGACAAATGCAAACCTTAAAATGTGAAGGAATCCTGAGTGGCGTAAGCAGTTAAGCACTAGACTACTAACCAGCAGATTGGCCTTTCAAACCTACCCATACATGTCTTTTAGAAAGACAGGCCTTAAAGGAACATAGTCTCAAAGATCAACACGAATGAGAACTTGAGAAGCAACACAGAGTCATAAAATTTTATGTAGATGAGAGCCAAGATTGATGGGATTTTGTTTGAGATTGTATAAAACTCACTGCCGTCAAGTCGATTACTACTCATAGCTACCCTATAGGACAAGGTAGAACTCCCCCTGTGGGTTTCCGAGACTTTATGGGAGGAGAATGCCTCTTTTAATAATTTTATTGGTATAAAGTTCATATATCATGCACTTCCATAGTTAAGTCACAGGCCGTTCTAGTACCCCCTGCCCCTCTTTATTTGCTCCCTGATTCCCCTTCCTCTACCCCTTCCCCAGCAAACCATTGAATCAGTCATTGTCTCTGCATCCGTTCCTGTGCTTCATAGACTGGGAAATGTAACAGAAACAACAGGAAAGAGAACGACACATAAAGAAAATATAAAGATTCAAAATAAAGAATAAGAAAGAAAAGACCACCAGAAATATTGAAATAAGCCAGAACTTTTTTGTCATGAAACAAGCAAGAATACTTTAACCAAGAGCAAATTCAGGTTGGGTTCAGCGGGAGGTCAGCTGACGTATCATACTATACCACAGTCCCTTCCCCATAATCAAATTTACAGTAATCTCTGTTTGATTACAAAACCAATCGGGTCCTTCGACTATGGCCAGAGGGAACCTGCCAGAGGCTAAATCCAACTAGGTTCTCTCCAGATTTTGGGGTTCCCTCTGTCCTGCATAGTGTTCTACAAATCGGATGAAACAACATTTCATAGTGATAAGGTTTTTTTGTAGGGGCTTGCCCTCAATCTACACTACATAAATTTTGCCACTACTAAAACCTCATTGAAAACAACCTCATTAATGCCAAATTACAAACTTCTGGAAGTCAGTTCACACAAACAGTATTCCCTTAATAAAATCAGATAGTAAAGTGATTGAGCTAAACATTATGTTGAACATGATTACAGTTAAAAGAGAAACTATTAACATGGATAAATGGAAACTAGTCTGCTTTTTATATATGGCAAAATTT